AAAAAAAAAAGTGCATAATGTTTAAAAACCAATTATAATTAAGTTGCTTAAACAACTATAAACAAAACAGCATCATGTATGTATGCATAGTTTAATACAAAGGACCGAAAGCCAATCACACAGAGTACATTTTTCATTTAAAAACATGAGATGCAGTGGGATGGGGGAAAAAACTGCCATAAAGTATTGATATATGTTTTTTAAAGTTAAACTTGCATTAATTTTACATGGCTTTCTAAACATGCGGCTCTTTTGTGCGAGACGCGAGTGCAACGCTGATAGATGTCCCTCTAAAAAATGCGTGAAATATGCATTCTGTGTGAACGGCTTGGTTTCAGTTTTGACGTAAACAAGATCTTCTCCGCATTGATGTTCTCTTTTCCCACAATATTTTTAATGAACAACGCAGCAGCGCCGCATCTAGTGGCTTCAACTTCAACTTCAAGAGGCTAACAAAAACATTATAATGCAACGACACTTACATCATCATCGAATCTCGTGCGCCACTGATAAGGCTGCGTCCTTAACGCACACCTAAAATTAGATTTTTTTTTAATGTGGATTTTTATTTTAAATTCGACGAATATTCGAAATACAAATTTTTTTTTGACAGCCCTAGTGGACATCCTGTGGAGGAAGTTCTGTCAGCTGTGCTTTATCAGATATGAACTACAAAACGTCTCATACTCCTCTGCTCCGACGATGATTCGATCTCCGTGATCTACTAACAAGCACCAAGCCTGCGTGTCCACCGTGGCTTCAACACTTCAAGAGGCTAACAAAAACATTATAATGCAACGACACTTACATCATCATCGCATCTCGTGCGCCACTGATAAGGCTGCGTCCTTAACGCACACCTAAAATTAGATTTTTTTTGAATGTGGATTTTTATTTTAAATTCGACGAATATTCGAAATACAAATTTTTTTTTGACAGCCCTAGTGGACATCCTGTGGAGGAAGTTCTGTCAGCTGTGCTTTATCAGATATGAACTACAAAACGTCTCATACTCCTCTGCTCCGACGATGATTCGATCTCCGTGATCTACTAACAAGCACCAAGCCTGCGTGTCCACCGTCCCCTGAGAGACAGACTCAACCACAGCTCGACACCAACTCTTCAGAGCCAGACTGAACACCACACACACCTGAGAGAGGAGACAGGAAAACTTACAGCACCAATCATCTGAAAACATTATTCAAACATATAAAATCAAATATACTCTCTCAAAACACTCATTTTTTTCTCCCCATTTTAAATGAACATCAACATTTTAGTGGGATATTTATATAAATGCAAATTTTAGGTGACATAAATGGTTATCTTTTTTAAGTTTTACTTGGTTTTAATCAACTGTTTTCCTTCACTGCTTCATTTTAAGTCAGTATGTCCATTTAAGAAGAAAGCGTGAAAAGACTAGCATGTCACACCACGGGACAAATCAATCTCTTACAAGTATTGCAACTTACAAGCATGTCAACTACCCAAATATTACACATAAAAAGTTATTATTTTTATTTTTAATATATATATACACATGTTCTGATATCATGTTCTGACCCTTTAAGACTTGCACTCTATTTGGATTCGAAAACGGTAAAACTCAACTGTTTAACTCTAGGGGAGTTGGCAAATGAGCCTATTTTCAAAAATAGTGGAGTGTTCCTTTAAGCTAACTGAGACTTGTCATGGCACTTGTGTATCATTGCTCTTTAATTGATTTTGATTGCTTCTATTGTCCTCATTTGTAAGTCGCTTTGGATAAAAGCGTCTGCTAAATGACTAAATGTAAATTAGGGTTGTGCCGATTTTAGTCTTACGCTGGAGCTGGTTCACTTTCCGGCAATGAAACTATGTAAATAAATAATTAAATTAGCACGATAATATTGTGTATCGGCGATCTCACAGGCTGACGATAGGTCGATATGAAAATTGAGCATATCGCTCAACACTAATGTAAATATAATATGACATACCAGCCCTTCCTTCAGTTCAGCAGGCTTTAGTTTCTGGACGTCCAGGTCAACCTCGTGGTAGAAGAGGTTCATTTTCACTCTCAGGTTCTCATATTCCTCTGGACTGTCCGGCTGAATGCCTGATCCTTTCAGAACTCGAGCCCACAGGCATCCCGGATCTTCAATCTGACACAAGACAGAGCGTGTGCGTGTTATTCACATTTTATGAAGTGGTCACTGGAGTAGACTGAATATTTATTAAATATTTGCTATAAAAGCTCTTCTGTCAGCTTGTTGTGTTTTAATTAGCGTATGCTGTACACACACACACACACACACACACACACACAAAAGATACAAAGGAAGATAGCTTTCAATATGTCTATGAAGGCATATATAAAAAAAAATAGAAAAAAATGACAAAAACCGAATCACTTTAAAATCAACTTTAAAACTAATAACAAATTCAAACTAAACTATTTTAAAAACTAAACAAAATAATAAATAACAGTATCTTAACAATGCTAAAATAATGCTGTTTGCTTCATATATGATAGAAACCGCTGTCATGTAGTGCTTTACCTTGATTATTTGTATTTCTAACATTTCTTAAATTTCTACAGCAAAGCCTGCAAATGAGTGAATAAGAATAAGATAAAATGCATTAAAAAGCTCATACAATATTAATTACAAGACATCAACATGACTGCAAATGTACAGTCAGTGTACAGTGCTGTGAAATAGTATGTGTGCATCTCATGAAAAGCGTAGGGTTTTATTAAGATGCTCTGAGCGACTTAAACAGGGTCATACATAAAATAAATCACCTCACAGTTAAAAAAATTCTGCAATTACTCCTAGTTGATGTAAAAAATATGACAGACAATTATATAACAATCCTACAAGAAATTACTCATGCAAGCGCAATACAGCTAGTGAATGTAGGGGCTAACTTATGTTTTTACAAAGAAGACAATTACTGTAAATAAACTTTTTGTTGTTGTCGTTTTAAATGCCAGTCAATTTTGTATTATTTGTTGAAATATATGACATCAAATCACCCATCAAAATGGTCCAGAAGCTCTCGCAGCTTGTTTGCTGTCAAATTCGGGTTCAACCAGGACGAGACAATTTGCTGAATCACGCAAATTAGGAGTATTTAAGAAACCTGTTGGGAAAAAAGTCAACAGTTAAAGTAAAATCACACTCCCACAGGGTTTGCTGTTGCTATTTAAAAATGTCCAACGCCTCCGTTACTACTAATAACATAATGAACTAGCAACAATGACAAGCTGTGTCGTTCCTGAGAGGCTAATGGAGCAACAAGGAGGCAGTGTGATTGTATTTATACAACAGTTAATTACAAATAAACAAGCTAATATGGATTAACTTACATTTTAGACACAATATTGGCAATTACTTTGTTTTGCCGCCGCCGCAACGCCGAGCTACACTTGAATTCGTTCCTGAAACTCTTCAATGATTCGTTGTTTTTGAACAAAACGGTTGAATGACTGATTCAATGACTCGTTCGGCCGTTCAGTGTCCAAGTTTCCAGACAGAGACAACACACAGATAATAAAAAAAATAAGTGAATAAAATACACATGTATAAATAAAAAATTATAAAAATGTATAAAAAATAAATAAAGCACACACACACACAAAAAGGATAAATATGTACAGGTGTGCTATAGATAAAATACTGTAGAATATGAATAGAATAAAAAAGTTGTAGGGATGTACTAGGATGTAGGGTGATAAATAGTATAAGGTTATTGCACATATTTTTATTGCACAATGGGAGAATATTTAACTGTTCATGAGGTAGATATATGTATATAATGTATACACACTGCCGTTCAAAAGTTTGGGATCAGTAAGATTTTTAAAGTTTTTTTAAAGAAGTTTCTTGTGCTCATCAAGGCTGCATTTATTTGATCAAAAATACAGAAAAAAAACTGTAATTTTGTGAAATAGCCTATTAGTGCAATTTAACATAACAGTTTTATATTTTAATATACTTTAAAATATAATTTATTTCTGTGAAGCAAAGCTGAATATTCAGCATCATTATATATATAATAGGCCTGTGTGTGTGTGTCCCTTATTCTGTCCCTTATTTTTCTATGAAAAACCACGGTTGTCCCTTATTTTCCTTTTCTGAAGATGGCAACCCTAGTTACAGACCAACATTAAAGGTGCATACCGCCACCTACTATATTGAAGTGTGTAAAATCATGGCTTCTGATCTCATTTTATATTCTTCTAATAAGACCAGTTTCATGCAAAACATTCATTAGTGCCTTAACAACTTCCCTTTGAGAATGATCTATTCCTAAAATGTCTTTAATATCCCATTTTCTTCCTAATTTGATGATACATTCTTTAAGTTTTTTTCCTTTCTTCCTCATATTTCCTACAGTTTAATATGTAAAATAGAGTTGTAAAATACATAGCCTATGTAAATACATAAAATACTGATCTGGAAAGCATCTGCTGTGTACAAACATCTGTAAGATGTCAGTTTTACATACATTCTAAAACATAAACATCTTAAAGGCATCTAATAAACGTCTATTTGGCATCTAGGAAACGCCCAATAGACACATTGCAGATGAGTAAACACTAAAAAATACGTCTTGCAGATGTAAATGCATTGCAGACGTCTCCGTGATGCACGTGTGCTGTGATCAAAACTTTGTAATGTCATTATATGTTCAAATTGAATCTGTGCTATGCTCTGTTTGTTTCTTATCTATTTATAATTTGTATTGATATTGTTTGTATGTTCCTTTTTTCTGCAATAAAAAAGTGCAGCAAATATAAATCACACATATCTTCTTTAAAACAATGAGTTGGTTGTTTAGCCTTAACTATGTTTGCGTAAAATATGAAATATTTGGGAAAGTGCATTCTCCAGTCTATCAAAATGCACTTTTATATTGTTGTAACCATTCGTCTAGTCATTAGAAGCAGGCATAGCTGTTTGATATTATTTTATTAGGCCTACAAATCAAATTGTCCGTGTGTATTGTGTTAAATGTCATATTTACTAATATAATGAACAATGCAAAATATCTTTACACATTAAAGTTCCAGTCCACGTCAGCTTTGAGGTTAATCTAAATGCTAGTGTGCTCCTTCTAGCAGATGCATGTATTTAAAATTTACAACCTTTCTGTCCAAACAATCAGCAAAGCCCCTTTTAGCTAGAAGCATTTTATACATCAAATATTCCATATATAGTACAATTATCACAATTAGTACAATTACTAGTGGATTGTGTTTATCCTGGTTTTAGATTTTCTTTTTAACATTCCAAATTAATTATATACATGCATGCATATATTGTGCAGGTCTTGGCATGACATTGCTGATGTTTAATTTGAATGTAATTGGCAAGCATCATGCTGAAATAATACTCATAATTATAATCAGACATCAAAACATAATCTTTCTGTTTGTTTTAATGGTGAGGCTAAAACTGCATTCTAGAGTCAGGTAGAAAAAGACCATGTTCTCTTTCAGATAAAGATTTCGTATGAAAACACTCTGTTTTCCTTACTATATATACAGTATATATTACAAAGGTCATTTGAATTTATAGCACTGCAAAGGTACATTACAGTCATTTTGGAAAATTTAGACAAATCGTCTTCAAACATTTTCATCTTCTTGGTTCTTAATAGTGTGTTATCTTATTGAGCATCAATGAATGTTTGTAATAATCACATATAATTCCCTCAATTTTTATAAGTGTCAAAGTTGAATCTGAAAATCATACAGTATATAGCCACTGCTGGGAAGAATTAACTTTCTAATTAACAGTGAGCAGCTTCACTGCGACAAAGATCATTAAGGAAAACACAATACTAAGAACCAAGGGTATGCAAACTTTTGTACAGACTAATTTGTTTAAATTCAATTCAATCATGACCAATCTCTGAACATTTTAGCATGGTGATAGATATGACAATGTTAATGCATTTGGTCTTGGCGGAACAGATCTGCTACGCTGCTGCTGAATTGCTGCTGCTGTTGGTTATTGCTGTAGTTGTAGATTATTGCTGCTGCTGCAAGCAAGTACAGGAACTTGCTACTGCCAGTGCATACGGCGATACGGTGCCGTGAGTATTTAAGACATACTGCTGCTGCACAAATAGCATATAAAATAACCCCTAGCAGATCTATACAGGTGGAGCTGGGGAAGGTGGAGGGTTTCCGAGAACTCTTAGTTAGTTTGAACTTTATTAGTTTGTCTGGGTATCTGTTGTGTATTGTGGAGACTTTCCTGCCAGCTCTACTCTGGGTTCATCATACTCTGTAGCCAATCAGATGCAAGCTTGCCATTCGACCAATCATAACACTCTGAAGAGTGCAGCAGGGACTCAAAGAAAATGGCTTTGTGCACTTTTTGTGCAATATGACTTTCAGCTTATCTGAGGACCACATTCAGTTTTTTTTTAGAGCTGGGCGCAGCCAGCATTACGACCACATTTGAATTCGAAGAAATCACAGAGCGAACTTCCAGATCCACAACTGGGCCCTCAAAGTTGCAATTAAGATAAATCAAGAATATTTAAAAATGTAATTGAGAAAGCTTGACAAATATAGAATTAAACAAAATGATTTTTTTATTTTTATTTTTTAAGTATTTTAAGAACTTTGTGACAGTTGTAAAAATCCTAAGTTTTTGATCATTCTAAAAAATAATGAACATACAGCAGCATGACAGCATTCAGAAAATTGTGCTGGGGTGTTGTTTTAAGTTGAAAGCTGCTGCTTGAGGAGGTTTCTTGGACTCATCACAATCATGAAACATATTTTTTGAGAAAGTCTTGACAAATGCAAACACTGTTTGGTGAGTCCAGTGTTTCTGTTTCGTTGGCTGCTCACTAGCTCCCTCTGTAGGTGCTGTATGAGTATCTGCAGTGGCACATGAAAGCTCTGATCAGCATCACTAACAGTGAAGAGAGTTCAGTGACATTACTGTCTGATATTCAGACTGCGTAAATACAATCTCTCCTACATCAGCTCGCTACTATTCTTTCTTACAAACCTCAACATATGGGTAAAAGCTGGACTGTCCCAAACTCTCCCAGTACTGGCCCGTCTCAAAGCGGATCTTGTACATTCCTGGAGTAAAGCCATCCTCATTTGTGTTCCTGAAATAATCAATGGCACGGTATTTAACATAATAGCAAATTTCCAGGGTTTCAATAATAAACCTCTTAAAATCTGACCCAAAATTTGGACGGTAGGTAACAGTTTTCGGAATTACAACAGAAACAATAGTGTACTTTCGTTTAATCATTATTAATTGTATGACTGTTCAGTGGCTGTTTTAAATTAGATAAAAAATAAAAAATAAATCTCTCATTGGTTGGCCAAACAGATAGTCCTGCCCCAAACTCACATCATTACGATACGATACGATACGATATACTTTATTGTCCCCTTAGGGGAAATTTTTCTTGGGCTTAGTGTATGCTGCATATACACATATAAATAAACAAAGCACATAAATCACATATGAAGCATACTAAACAGGGGGGCAAAGCATGCAGACAGTATATCAAAAGTCACAGTGCACAACGGAACAACCCCTATTACACAACTTCCTGACCCATAAAACCAGCAATAAATAAGAATAAAATCATGTAAGACACATTATTGATCATTGGTTGAGCCAGTGTTTCTTTGTCAGGCTGGTCGAGATGTTTAAAAACATCCCAAAATGACACACTTCAGCTTTGATCAATAACTGTGTACCCAGCCGATAGTTATGAGGTTCCAGATGGCCATGCGGGGGTCCAGGCGGTGTAGACTGAGGGCCACTCTTGCCGCTGGGACCCCGTCCCCGGTGTTCAGCACGTGTGTAGTGATGGGACTACTGCTTTTCACTGAAGGACCCATAGCTGTAAACCTTAAAACACAGAGAAATACTCATTTTAAAGAGCGGTATCCTCAAAAAAAGTGGCCCCATCTGATTCTTTCAAGTCAGAAAGTATTAATTCACTAAAGGATTATTCAAAACCCCTCAAAAACAATACTAGTCGATAAAAAAAAATAGACACCTGACAACATTAATTTTAAACGTACAATGAACACCAACTTCTAACTAAACTATTGAAAAGGTGTGTAAGAGAAGACGTTAAGGTCTTACCTGTTAAGAATCCAGTGTCATCTGGCTGTGCTCCGTTTGATCCGGACTCACTGTTTGATTAGTTTCAATGAGTTCATCAACAAAACAAACCAGCGTAAGCACACAGGGTTCATATTTAAGCCAACAGCTCTTAAAAACATGTTAGTATCACAAATCTTTAGAATATAAAGTACCACAAAACAAAGGCTGTTTTGAATCTACAGTCATACCTTGAAGTCTTTCACATGCAAGAAAGCGGGACAAACCGAGCTGAAATGCTGTTTGAGGACAGATGGACTTCGACCTCTAGAAACTTGTTTGATTTGGTTCTTTACATGTGTGAAAAAACATAAGGATAATAATACACTAAGGTAACTGTTAGTCAGAATGACACAACAGCACCAGTTTGAATCATATCGATCAATGGTTTTCAGACCCAGAGACCCTCATTATTATTTTAAAAAAGAAAAGCAATGTTTTCTTTAAAGGCAGGGTATGTGATTTTTCAAAAACGCTTTAGAAAACTGATTCGGGCCGAATAGCAAAACAAACTTGTAGCCAATCAGCAATAAGGGGCATGTCTACTCGTGCTGTGGAGGAGAGGGAGTTCAGCCCTTTTGGGGTAGGGGCGAGTTTGTTTTGGTGATTTCAAATATCAACATTGGCTACCAGAAATCGCTTACTCTGCCTTTAAGAACATTAACTAACATCATTACATTATGTATTGCTTAACAGATCATTAGTCAACAAGTAGTTAATAGTTAAAATGTCATGAAAATAGAAGTTTAATCATCTCCCCTAAAGTGCTGATTCAAAACCCTGGTGATTGTATAGATAATGCCTTTTAACACTTTTATTACAATTCTGTCCTTAACATTATAATTGGACAAAAACCATTTGAGTCTCTATATCAACATACTGTACATGAATGTATTTTTATTTCTGTTGGTGAATACATTCACAATGCAATTGACAAAGTGATACAAACAAAACAGCATTCCACAATATTTTACATAACCACAGTAATGTATTACAAAAAAGTATATTACAAAAAAAACAAAAAAAAAACATTCAGCAGGAAATCACTATTTTATGACTTATTTCAAAAGACTTGAAGTGAAGAAGAAAAAACTCGACTACATTTTCACATGAAGAAAAAGACATATCCTTATCATACAGTACATCTAGTCATAAAACTAAACTGGCCAGAGCGAGAGATTAATGGGGAAATATTTGCACATCACTTGCACTGACCAAACACCAACAACAGAGGTAGATGGTAGTCATTGTGCCAATTCCAAAATTATGAATTATGTAACAATTATTACACATTCAATTATTGTGAATTTGAATGACATTTGGGTTAAAATAAGTGGTTATGCACATCTTAAATCTCATGTTTGGCTCATAAATATACATAATTGAACAATTTTTTCAATATACCAGGGTCTATCAGTTGATATAGATATCATTATTAGCATCAGTCATTTAATAACCCATATCAGTTGAGCTGTTGTGTAGAACCATAATATAATTTATGTAGGATATTTGCAATAACAAGTGTGCGTGTGTGTGTGTGTACTTTAATTTTATCCTGATCTCGAGTCGTATCAGTGTTTTACTGACTGAAATCATGGAAAAAAACAGCTTGTGTTCATATAATTCATAAAAGCAGCAGCAGCTTTGGTCTGTTTAAACAGCTGCTCCACAACTGGATTCAAACCGGATTCATGTTCACGTTACATGATGACAGTTTCAACAGATCTGGATATCTGGAACTGATCCAAATATATTTCCTGATCGTTTTCTTTAGATCATCGTTAGAGATCCTGTGACGTTTACCCAAAACTTGGTATCTGAATTGGGAATCTGTGAGAAAGCGCAACAGAACATTTAGAGGGGAACAACAGTTTGGCAGTTTATAAAAAAATGTAAAAAAAAGTCACAGGTTCCAACTTACCTGAAACCTGTCTTTACATATAGAGCATATCTGATTCATAGTAATTAACCTAGAAAACACATGCATGGATAAATGTCATGGATAGACTGTAAAACAGCTAACATTTTATAGCATTATACCATTTTTTAATATCCTGTAATATTGTTGAAAGATGTTTTATTCAATCAATCAATCAATAACAATAAAAAGTTTGCTTTGTAAGCCTGATTCAAAATCTACGTTTAATTTAAATTCATCATGATAACCACAGTTTACATCAAAACGCCATAATTATTACAAGAAACCTGTCAATAACCTGTCATTTCATTTCACAATTATAAGAATGACAACTGTAATGCACAAAAATGTGGTTATTATAAAAGTAATGTAAAAAAGGTAATTCTCAATAAGTAACAAAAATAACAATAACAGCATTTTTGACTGAATTGTAACGTGTATATATACATATATATATATATATATACATATATATATATATATATAAACCTAAATGTAAATAAATATCCATACACATTACTTAATTAGAAATTACAAAAAGAAAAAAATCTGAAAAAATTCAGATTAATTAAAAATGCATTCAACAATTCTTAATGCTTCTAAAATATGTTTCTTATGTGTTAAAATATGTTTAATATATAAATGTCCTTCAGTAATAGTAAGAAGCTTCGCAATCTTCAGAATGTTTAATTTCACTACGTTTGACAGTGGCCACAATTTCTTTAACTATGAAAATTTGACAGTAAATTTATAAAAATGCAGACTTAATTTATTGGTATATGATTGATTTAATCTGGTCTCACGATTACATTAATCACATTGTTCCTAAGTGTTTGAGTAAGAGTTGAGCATTAGCCATTGTGTGTGTGTGTGTGTGTGTGTGTGTGTGTTTACATGCTGTCTGTCTTCATCACTGCTGTCTGCAGTCTGTGGGCTCTGAGTGTCTCTGTCTGTCCTCAGGGGAGGAGGGCTACCAGACGAATCGTCCGCACTGTTCAGAGAGCCATGGAGCGGAGAGAATGCCACTCCGTCTCCTGAGATTCACACACACACACACACACACACACACACACTAAATGACATAAAACTGAAGATCAAGGACAGAAAAGCTGCCAAGGCCCTGAAGCAACACCCCCTTCAGAGGCCCCACTTGCACAAAATGTGAGACTTAATGTTCAAATAATGACAAATAACATCACAAATATGAGACAGTCGGAGACCCCACTGGCCTGGTTCATAATCCACCTTTACAAGGTGCATCTGATGATGAAAGAAGGAGCGTTTTACCGGCCAGCTCTTGGCTTTGAGGGTCCATCCGCTCCAGACTGTCCAGCAGCTCGTCTATCTGTGATTTAATCACCGTCAGTTCTTTCTTAATGCACATCAGCTCCTCCATTCTCACTGCAGAGAGAAGGAGGTTAGCGAGCATTAATGTTATGTTCAGCGACACTAGCGACTAACTAATTGAGACAGTATTAACAAACATATTGCATTTCAATTTGCCACCACTAGTGAAGCAGAAATGACACACTGCAGCTTTAAATAAAGATGTAAAGACATCTGAGATGTAGCCTAGCAGTTAGTGCACAAAAAATAGTGGATTTTGTGATAAAGCATGTCATTTCTGTGCAAGTAGCAGCACCAAATGAACTGCAAAAATAACTGTTTCCAAACAAGTTTCCCAACTGTTTTTTTATGCCCCACCCTCCATCTGTCATTGGTTGGACAAACATGTAGCCCCTCCCCAAACTCACATCATTGGTTGAGCCACAGTTTGAGTGCTTGCACCATTTTAAGCATAGTATAGCAAAATAAAAATTTATATTTCAGCTTACCTCAGCCAAAAAGTTCAATTGTCGGACTTTCAAGAGACAAATAAGGAAGCCCCGATATAAGCAACTCTTCTAATCTAATGTCTCTAATGATGGAAACTTAGATTGGACCGCTTTTCCGCAGCGTGTTAACACCACTCAAACACCCCTCCAATCCCAGCTGGATAAAAAAATCCCATTCCAGCTCAGCACCAGCCATTAAAAAGCGGTTTGACCTCCCAGCTACAAAGGCAAACTCATTCTACTGTGATCTGCTGGCAGTAAAAACTATTAGGGCTTGTAATAAAGCACTATAAACGTTTCTTATTGGTCATGCACTATTAATTTGCTATAATTGCTTTTGGTGATAGGCTAGGTTTGATTACTGAGGGAGTAGTTCTATAGCGGAGGGAGGATTTTAATGAAGAAACCATCTGGAGTTCGTCAGCAGAGGTGCATGCATGCACGTAGTTATAGACGCTCACCAAAACACGATTATATGAGCAACTTTCACCAAAACACAATCTGAGGGTACAAAACACTGTAAAAGCGATGCTGATATTTACCATGAGACACAAACGCAAACATCAATGCTAATGCATTGCAACACTGTACCTTTCTATATAATATGCTTTCTCACTGTGACAAACTCCAGGACTCAAGGGGGCGATAGAGTTACCTTAAATTTGCTCAGGCAGCTTGTTTATAAACATACTGACAGTTTAACTTTAATTTGCACAGCAATGTCAAATTTATTTAGTTTATAACTATGGAAATTTCACAGACGAAATCCAATCATTTCAATAGGAATCCGCATAGTCGTGAGTTTCATGTGTAGGCGAAAAAGATTTGAAAGTATACATTGCTACACTATTTACAGTATCCAATGGACCTACTGCATGCAAAATTTTCTGCAATTTGGCTAATGTGACTGTACCATTATATTGTGTCAACACCGTGCACGACTGTTGAATTACTTGGAGCTGAAAAAGCTTGAGGCTACATTTTACAATGTGTAATTAATAAAACAAACTATAACAAGCTAAAAGTAACTGTTTCCAAACAGGTTTCCCGACTGGTCTTTGTGTCCCGCCTCCCATCTGTAATTGGTTGAGCAAAAATGTGTCTAAACTGGGCTTAACCACTGTCGTGTTGCATTAGCTTGAGGTTGTCTACATTTTAAAATGACAAAAATCACAATTGTTTCCAAATGGGTTTCCTAACTGTTCTATTCTGTCCTGCTCCCCATCTGTCACTGGTTGGACAAATATGTTTCTACGAAGGGGCTTGACCTTGTCACATATCGGTCATTGCAACAGCTCGAGGCTGCCTACATTTTAAAGTGTATTGTTTGTAAAACAAACTGTAACAGATGAAAAATTACAATTGTGTCCAAACAGGTTTCCCAACTGGACTGGACAATATGCTCTACCAATGTTTTGCTAACATTCCCAGTGAGTTATGGAAAAGTTATTTCTGAATGTTCTTTGAACATTCAAAATGTCAATTTCTAAAAATG